CCCCAAAACCCCAAAACCCCAAAACCCCAAAACCCCAAAACCCCAAAACCCCGTGTTCAGGTGATCAAATTGAATGGATCAATCAAACAATATAAAATAGTTTCATAAGATTTTTATAATTATTTTTTAAAACATTAGTATTAACTAACATGGCTACATCCATTCACAAAATTTGCGATCAACGTTCGGATCCTTTTAAAGACCACTCCAGAGATTTTACTTTTGCAGACCACCTGTCTCCCAAGGAGGGAAAGTATATGGTTAAGGCAGTAGGACAAATTCTTTTAGAAATTCAAAGTAATCTCGAAAAATCGGGAAAGAATTCGTTTAACAGTCCTTCCCCTAGTGGAAATGGACTCAAAAACGCTTCAAAAAGTAGCAAAAGGCTCAAATATAAGTCTAAGCAGGCTTTGAGTGAAGAAGAGGTTAGTGAACCAGTAAATGAAATTAATCACTGAGCTGACCAAACCTACCACAGGAGGGAACTTGACCAAATTGTCTCCAAAATTAAGAAGCCAGTAGACTGTGTCAATGGCTCCTTAAACTGGAAAGATCTGCCGTCAAGTAAATTCCCTATGGTCAGCGAGTCTAAATTTCATTGTCCTAACCCCCTCTCTCCTCCTTCAAATGGAGTAGCCCTTCTTGGGAATGTTTATAGTGCCAATAGGCTAAATATTAAAATAAGCTCTTTTGTGTCTTCATTCTATAAACACTACTCCATTGTCTCTTACTCTTCCTTTGTTCTGTCTCTTATCTACATTGACAGATTTCTTAAGTCTCCAAAAGTCAGGGATTTAATGCAGGACTCCAAATTCAGCATGGCAAGGTAAGCTTCAGAAATTTTTGGTGAAAGAGGGATCTAATTTAGTCTATAGGCTCTTCCTAGTCGGAATCATAATTGCTATGAAGTATCACGAGGAATACTACATTGAGAATTACTACTTCTCCAAACAGGCTTCCAAATACTGATGCATCTCTGATATTAAAGAGCTTAATGAGCTGGAGAGAGACTTCTTAAAAACCATTGACTACAGGTTGAAGGTTGAACAATCAGAGTTGAACAGATACCTTACCTCTGTTTATAATAAGTCCCAAGAGCTCCGATGCAGACAGTTCAAAGTTCATACTGACGAAATCACTATTCAGGAAGACTATTTTGGTCGTAAACCTGAAAGCACGAAGGAACTTCTCAAAACATCAGGAATGGGCAAACTCCACTTCTCCACTATCACAAAGAAGAGCCAGTCTGTGGCAAAGAAGCAACCCCAAATAATCCTGAACGACAAAGTGTTCAGAGGAAGTGAGGAGATTTACCAGTTCTTCAATTGCGAAGAGATCTGTGAAGACACAACCACATTCTCCGAAGGTACCTCTTTTTCAGTATCTGAGGGATCTTTGGAAAGCTTTCTAACATTTAATTAATTATATTAAATACCTCCCAATCCCGTGCTTAAAATTTGGGGTTTTGGGGTTTTGGGGTTTTGGGGTTTTGGGG